TGAAGATGCCATACCGTGTGCTTCATCTCTAAATTGGATTTTATTACACCATGTACGTTTGAAATGCGCTCCCAACGGTTCTTTTGAATTAAATTGGAGGATCATTCCATTCAAACATAAGGCATTATACTACCACACTTTCAAAAATCGGTAAACGTTATCCAACTAATACGTTTTCACGTTTTTTCAAAGAAATCGGTGTCATATAAGGATTGTAGGACCCTTCACTAATCTAATTAAAAATATCTATGTTTTGGTGAATTCAAATTCAAACCAAATTTAATTTGTTGGATTGCAGATTCGTCGCTTACCGCCTGTGAAATTCAACTAAACTTACCGAGTTTGTGGTCCAATGGTAGAGCGTTGGGGTATAAATCCGGAGGTCGGGTGTTCGAACATGGGTTAAGGTGAATTTTTCATCTGTGGCAGAGATGGGATTTACCTTAGACCAGTTTCAGCATTCTGCCGGCTACTCCGAATTAAGTTTTCCTGCATTTTCCTAATTCCTAAAGTAAATATCGGAGTAGTATAGAACAACTAATGGTCTTCTGCAGAGGTACCTCTAAAGAAGCATTATGTGGGTCACTCTGTAATTGGGCGCAAGCCTGTTGAGGGCCCAGAACAAGGGATGGATAATAAATAAATTAATAAATATATAAATAAATAAATAAAGAATTCGCATGGAGGAATTCAATGTCTTCCAAACATATAAAGTTTCCAAAAAGGGTTTTCGGAATATTTAGTGGGTGTTTTTGAATTCCCCGTAGCGTTTCGAAATAGACAAAACCCTCAAAAATTTCCGATACAGAGGTTTGTTCTTCTGCGTCTTCAAAGCCTCAGTCTAGAGGTCCACCAGGGTTTCAAACCATTGATGACATCTACAATCTATGATTTAAAGTGCTCACTTGTCAACTTCGAAGCCATACTAGCCCGATTTTGAACCTCGTAACGCTTCAGTTTTTGGACGTCATTCCGAGATTTCAAGGTCTGTGTATTCTTCCATGTTTTCCGAGTTTTAAAAACTTCTACGCGCGTAAGGATGTCAGGTATGCAAGACTGAAAAGTGTGTGACGCCCTTTAAATTAGTTAATCTTCAGGTTCTTAAGGTATGGAGGTTTTTCGGGAGCCACGCGGATAGCTGCAGTAATTCTCGATCAAATTAACACCCAACTTGAATTTATTTACACCCTGTACATAAAAATGATCAACAAAACTATGTTGGTATCCCTGGATGGATTTTATTGTATTCTATGGTATCACCGTGAGCTGTAGGCTGTACAGGTATTTCGAAACCTTGTTTTCAGATGAAGCGCCAAATTTAAATATTCCATTAAGGTCAAAATCGATACGCTACCTGAATTATACCTTTAAATCAATAAATACTGTCAAAGGCAAACGTTGATTTATTCTTGATGGGTATGGAAAAATACTCATGGAACAATATTTTGCACTTTTTTCACAAAATTTTAATAATGAAAGGCAACATAAATATACATCAAGCTCCTATTGCTTACCCTTACGCGTTTCTCGAATGTATGTGCGCTCTCACGTTCACTCTCCCCCTCCCCGCCCTTAAACTGACCGTATAAATTTAAATTACAAATCAAAAATTACATATTCACTGTAGCTGAGAATTTGAAGATATCGAAGATATCTCTTGGTAAAGTCTCCCCATTAATCATCTAACAAGAAAGAAAACAAAAAAAAACGCTTCTTCAATTTTTTCAAATGCTTCGGATACTTGTGATTCATTTGCTTCTTGCCAACCTTTAGATCCTTCCCATTCTCTAAGCTTTGCAGGTTCCTCAAAATTCTTCAAATTTGTTGGACACTTCCGATTGTTTAGATTTTTGGATCCTTCAAATTGTTCAGTTAACTCTTAAGATTTTTCGAACCCTTCAAATACTTCAGGTCATTTACTTTTTTCGCAGCTCTCGATTCTGTAACGAGAGCATTTAGGTTTGGTTCTCAAGGTTTGAATTTTCCCCCCAGAAAAGTAGTAAATTAGAATTTTTAAAGCTGTACAAAATGTCAAGGTTCTGAAGTGTCTTCCCAAACAAATATTGGACGTGATTATGTAAGGAATTTATCTGGATGATTGCGACCATCGAAATATGTGTCATTTCCAACTAGTCATTTTCAATGCGTTTTTGTTCTTTAATTACTTGAGGGTTCAAGATAGCGGTGATCGGTTCAGTTTCTTTTAATGGGAGATATAGTATAGTCATCATGAGAGAAGTCAACGTGAAAACTTTTGAGTCAGCTTAATTTGAGAAAGAGAACTAAAACTATCTGAGATTGGTAGTAACAAAGACACTAACCAGTAGAAAAATTAGTTATCGCTGAATTATACCTTTAAATCAATAAATACTGTCAAAGGCAAACGTTGATTTATCCTTGATGTGTATGGAAAAATACTGATGGAACAATATTTTGCAGTTTTTTCACAAAATTTTAATAATTAAAGCCAACATACATCAAGTTCCTATTGCTTACCCTCGCTCGTCTCTCTCTATCCCGAATGTATCTGCGCACTCACGTTCACTCCCCCCCCCCAAACTCTCCGTATAAATTTAAATTACAAATCAAAAATTACAAATTCACTGTAAAGTTTGATAACGCAATTTCTGTATACACTGTATCTCAACAGCATACGATTTTAAGTAGAGGAATTTCTTGCCATTCGGCTCGCATTCGGAAACTCGACTTTAAATCCGACTCATATTCAATTCAATAGCAATTGGCGAAAGTTTAACATCACTGTCTCTTTTCGTTCGCGAGTTAGACGAGGAGCAAACCGTCAGGCGGACAGACGGGCAAAATCATCACATAAAGATCGGGGAAAGCTGAGAATTTGAAGATACCGAAGGTACGAGACATACTATTGGTGAAGTCTCCCCATTAATCATCTAACAAGAAAGAAAACAAAAAAACACTTCATCAATTTCTTCAGATACTTTCGATTCATTTGCTTCTTGCCAACCTTTAGATCCTTCCCTTTCTCTAAGCATTATAGGTTCCTCAAAATGCTTCAAATTCGCTTGATACTTCCGATTGTTTAGATTTTTGAATCCTTCAAATACTTCAGATTCTTCAGGTCATTTACTTTTTCGCAGCTTTCGATTTTTTTAGATTCTGTAACGAGAGCATTTAGGTTTGGATTTCAATGTTTGAATTTTTCCCGCAGAAATAGGTTAATTAGAATTTTTAAAGCTGTAGAAAATGGTAAGGTTCTTCCCAAACAAATATTGGTCATTTCCAACTAGTCATCTTTAATGCGTTTTTCAAGATAGCGGTGATCGGTGCAGTTTCTTTTAATGGGAGATATAGTATACTTATCATGAGAGAAGTTAACGTGCAAACTTTTGAGTCAGCTTAGTTTGAAAATAAAACTATCTGAGATTGGTAGTAACAAAGACACTAACCAATAGAAAAATTAGTTATCGCCATTGAGAGATAGTCCGCCATTTGTGAGCGTGGGAACCAATTCTATAATTAAAGAGTGGGTAATTCGCCATTTAATAGATGAAGTCTCTTGGCAATCGAGGAGAGATCGCAAAAGATTTAAATCAAAGGGGAATTTAGATTTTCGGTTTGGAAAAATTTGATTAGTTGTTTTGTTTCCAAACATTTGTGCAATCCAGAAAATGTAAAGCTGGTATGTAAAATTTTACGGCATTTTAAATGTTGCGTTGACATATATACAAGGGATTATTATTAAACACTAAACCGTACAAGTAACTTAAAATTCCCAAGTCTCAAATAAATAAAAACTTCCTTTGTATACGGAAGTAAAAGAGCTGATCAAACGAGATCGTAATTAAATCATATAAACTGCTGAAATTATAACAGAAAAACTGTCAACATTTCAACAATAAACTTAGTTCAATGGGTACCATTGTTGGGGACCTATTTTTTTGTGCAACTGCTTATTAAGGATTTTTTTTTCAATTATACTAAACAGTAACCAAGTTCAGTACACTATATAGTGTATACAAATCACCTTGGAAGTTAAGTTTCCACTTACCAGTACCAAAGAATCACCCAAATTGAGAGTTTTATCATCTAGAAAAATTATCTCTTGAAGTAATTACCTATTATCCAATAGCGATAGATTTCCAAATGCACTTTCTTGAAAGTAACATCTGTATTATAACGATCCACTCAATAATCAATCAGCCAAATTCAAGAGTTAATTTTTTGGTGGTATTTTTTTAATATAAAAAGTGAATAAAAAATTGTGTATGTGCGTAATACTACTGTGTGCAATGGCAAATGGTCACTAAACCGCCCACAAAACACCTGTCCGGCTAGTTCAAAACAGGTTTTTTAAATATTTTGTTGATCGTGGTATGTGGGCGAAATACGGTCCTGACTTTTTAACTGCGTTTTAGCATTGAATAAAAACACTTTTTATTCAATGGTTTTAGTGATATGGCGTGATTGTCTAGAGTTGTAGGAGGGATTTTGTTTATGCCGCATTCGTTATCTGGCTTACATAATTCGCGTCGGAATTGGGTTATATCTGTCTTTTCCAGCGGAGGAAGTTGATGATTGGCGGTCTAAATGAGAAAAATAAGCGATTATTGTTTATGTGCTGTTGCTCGTTTGTTTACCCAAGGCCAATACTTAAATACATTCTTTATCAACAAAACTATTTGCAATAAGTACTCAGAAAAAATGATATGATATGAGAGGCGACATGCGACAGCGACAGGTCACTCCAGGAGGCAATACGTTACCCGTTGGAACCTTCTCACGCCTTTGCAATAATTTGTTTATAAAAAAATGGAAATTTAAATAACGATTATGTTTTATTGTTTTAAAATTCCACCTTCACCTCGTTAACGACCGCCTAATTCGTCATACTCTTATCACTATCTTTATAGCTAGCCTACGCCAACGCAGTACCTGCTTACACCTTACACGAAAAATTTATCGCCGCGCCCCGCGTTTTTAATGTAAATTATTGTTGCGCTGATAACTGATGTTTGCTTCAGAGATATCCGGTGAGCTGAAGGAGACCATAGAAGCCGTTACGCCGAGGTTTGAGGAGAATCTGAAGAGGGTGAGTACGACTTTACTCCAACCCTGAGCTGATCAGTCGGTTATCACTATTTCAAATGTGTAAGTGTAATATGTCAAAAAATCTTTATTACCCAAATGAATTGAAGGTCGGATGGTACGCTCCAAAAAATCCCAAAATTCTTCTTTTAATATTTTTATCAACAGCTATGACATACAGGTTCGCTGATAAGTCTGGAAACGGTCGATTATCGGGGAAAATATACAAGGTTTTGCCACAACAGATTTGAGGTTTCTTTAATGTCTACTAGGCAGTAGCAATATTAATTATACATGGTTGGTCATAAAGGCGTGGCACAAATATTGCATTTTTTAAACGGAACACCCGGTATATTATTCGATATTTCAATTCTTCCCTTAATTTTGAGCATAATTTATTAGAAGCATGATTTACCCAAATGCAATCGTTTCCGAGTTATCAAGGTTTGAAAATAATTATTAATATATTAATTATATTTATTAATAATTAATTAGTAATGAATTTGAAAATAATAGCGTTTATGTTCAAAACTTGATAACCCGGAAACGATTGAATTTAGGTACATTATGCTTTTTACAAATTTTGATTAAAATCGAGAGAAGAATTGAAATGTTGAATAATATAAAGGGTGTTCCATTTAAAAAAAAATGCAATTTTGGTGTGCCACGTCTTTATGGACAACTCTGTATAATTAAAATGACTGCCTACTAAACATTGAAGAACCCCAACACTTTTGTATAAAACATATTTCGATGTCCCTTTTCCTCGATAATCGACCGTTTCCAGACTTATCAGCAACCCTGTATATAGAAGGGTTGAATTAATGGTTTCACCAAGATCTTTTGGTTCACCCTTTCGGATTCTGCAGAAAATGTTTCAAAATTTGTGCCCCACGAGGCTGTAGAAATGAAGATTATGTACCGAGTGACCCAAAAAGACTGTTCCTGGGCCATATCTCGGGAACCGTTCGTCGTATGACTTAGGGGTAAAAAAAATTATTGGGTAAATCGGCTATGAGGAATCTCTGGAAAATATTTTCTAGTTCTAAAAATCACCACCAGAGAGCAGAACTGCCATCTTAAATTTTAAAATTGCATTTTATTTAAATTTCGCATAATAAACTAAAAACTTTTTTTACATTTTTAAAGAGAACCAGTTTATCTATCATTTTCGTAAAAACAAAAACTCAGTTATTTCAAAAACAAAGATGGTGTGGGGCGTTCAATTGTTTTTGCAATAACCTGCTTTAACTTTTTAACGGTTTGGCCGATTTTAACAAATTTGGCATCGTTGAAAAGAGCATTCCTTGGGCAATAAGAATATATAGTTAATTTAGTTCAATCCTTCTCCGCCAGAGGGCTAGATTTGACACCATGGCCCAAAATCCTAAAAAATCCAAAAATCAAATGGTATGATATGACTTTTTCTTTATAAAAAAGTAGGCAAATAACATCCAAAGAAGCCAGTGAAAACCGTTTTTCAAAATCTCGTTCCTAACCTCAAATATTGGGAGATTAATATAATAATTAATAATTAATTAATTAATTAATTAAAATAATAAACTGGTTCTCTTTAAAAATGTGAAAAAAGAATTTTTAGTTTATTATACGAAATTTAAAAAAATGCAATTTTAAAATTTAAGATGGCAGTTACGCCCCTCTGGTGGTCATTTTTAGAACTAGAAAATATTTTCCAGCGATTATTCATGACCGATTTACCCAATAATTTTTGTTACCCCTAAGTCATACGACGAACCCTTCCCGAGATATGGTCTTATTGGGTCACCCGGTACATCGGGCAAACTGAAATCATAGCATTGTCAACTGTTTACTGTAAGTGGAACACCCATGGGCTGAATATAATTATATCTTTGTTTGCACCCAAAACCGCACAGCAAGAAATAGCCTTGAAGGAAATTAATTTTTCGTTCTTCCTTCTTTGGTTGTCCACACCTCACCGTGGACATAGCGTATGAATTGGGTGCTCACTTGGTGGTGGTGGTGCAGGATCTGCTCGATCGATGAGCCGAACGCTTTGCACAGATCCAGGGTGTTGAAGTCATTGCCCTGCATGCGTCTCGGTTTTGTCGTCTTATGTATATTCCGGCAACAGCGCACAGTTCTTGGCAAACGGATCTTGGACCATTGCGAAGTGTTCTGTTGGCGGATGAAGATGGCGGTGTGAGCCTTAAATGCAGCTTGGGTGGCTTCATCTGCAGGGCAGGAAGGCTTGCACGGACTCCTGCAGATCGTGAATTGTTCCTTAGTCCGACCCTTAAGAAGAAGCGGGCGAGGAAGGAAGGAGACACTCTTCTGGAGCCGTGGCGGTGTCAAATCATGGCCTTTCAAGTTCATGTCTACATTTGGTTGCTTTGCTGAAGCGAGGTGGCTCGACAGTTGCAGGAGTAACGGGGGGGGGGGGGGGGGGGCCTACGCACAGTGGGGGTCGAACTTGTGCTTTCGCTTTCGCGGCAATAGGAGGTGCTGCAGTGCCGCGACGTGAACTTTCTTCGTCCAGTCGGAGCCACGTTATCGGGGGGAGCAATATCTGGCGTTCTTTTATGCGCGGAGCAAGTGGTGGAGGCGTGACGCGATGTGGGTGGTGCGTGCTACCCTGTGTCTTCTGGCATCGCACCCTCGGGTGTTGGAAGTAGTGATCTTCGAGTGGTGGTTTTTGGCGTATGCGTTTTCGTTCGATGTTGGATCGCTCCAAATATGGCTTATAATCGGCGAAGTCCCGACGGTGACGGATCTGGTGCTCAGTCAGGCACGTGATCGCCATTACTTCCTTGACATTAAGGCCTCCTTTTATGCTGTTAGCCTTAACCCTGGCGATTTTGGCTATGATTTCTGCCTTTGATAGTTTCACTTCCGACTTCAGTTCTTCAGTATATTTCTTTGGGTGGGCCCAGTGCTCGTGTTATCTCGGCACCGTGAAGAGCTTCGTTTATGGCGGTCTGCGTAGAGGCAAGGAAGTGACCTTTTTGCTGGACATTGCTTAGATTTGTTGACCGCCTATCTGCAATTGCAGATATAAATAGAGTTCGTTTTCCTGGCCTTTAAGACCGATTCACATTATCGGTCACGTCACGGTCACAACACGTTCATAAGAAATACACGCTACAATAATGACCGGACCGTGATCTGGCCGTGACGTGACCGATAATGTGAATTCTCTGAAAAAATCCAAAATCTAAGATAATGAAGAAATCAAAGAATCCGAGGAAGATATAGATACCAAAGAAGCAGAAGGGCCCGTCGAAGCTGAAGAAGGTAGGAGGGAAGTCAGAAAGCGAATCACCCCCAAGAAGTTGAAGGAGTAAATCGAATTTCCTCTTGCCAATACCGGATACTGGTAAAGAACAGGACAATTGCCTTGCAGATCTCCGATACACATCGGAAAAAGATAGGGTAGTAAAGAGAGAAAGTAAATCGGGGGAAAAGCTCACAATCCGAAAAAAAGCAATGGAGTAGCTGACTCCGAATCAGAAGAAAAACAGAGGGAAGAAGTCAAATGTGTGAAGGAATAGGAGAAACATATGAAAGCGAAGACACCCATAACTCATTGGATCTAAAAGAGACGTGGAATCTGATGTGGCCCGGCTGAGAGGGTAGGTAGAGCAGAAGAAACCTAGAGAGTTGCAGAAATCCGCGAATTAAAGAACCCGAAGCAGACGATGAAACCGAGATAACCCAGGGAGCATAGGAAACCGTAAAATATTGTTAAAGCCAAGAGACCAAAAAAGGAAAAAGTCGGGAAAATCAGTAGCTGTCGCGGAACAATCCCGAGATAAGAAGAGGCAGAAGAATCTGTTGCAATCAAAGAAAGTGAAGAAGGCGAGAAATCTGAGCAGAATAAGCTGTTGCTTCTGGTCGTTTTGGCCGTTGCAGTATTAGGCGGAGGAGGCGAGACAAGGAGAAAGAAAGTTAGATTAGTAGAGAAGACCACCACTGACCAGGAGTCAGGACCCGAAACGGAGAGGGAATGGGAAATACAAAGGAGGAGAAAGAGAGCTAAGAAACCCAAATCCGGGAGCGAGAGTGAGGGTATTCGACCTACGGCGACAAGGCGACGAACCCCCAGGGCGGAGGCGGTGCTCGTTAAGCTACAGGGGGAAAACCACATGGAAGAGATGCTGAAGAAAATAAGACAGACGGACATGTCGGGAGTGACGACTAAGATTAAAAGCATATGGAAGACGAGGAACGGCGACATCCTCCTCCGGGTAGAGAAGGGAGTGGGAAAAGCCGAGCCAGTACTCGCCAAGATCAAGGCAGCCATCAGCGATCGAGGGGTGGCGCTTTTAGAAGATAATTGCACCCTCTCTGTCAGGGACCTGGACGCGATAACAATCGGGGACGAGGTATTAGAGGCCTTGCTACGAATCAACCCCAACGCCAGGTGCAGAATAAAGAATATGATCACGGGGCAGAAGGTGGCATTTCTTCACCTTAACAGAGAGGCAGCCGAGATTGTAGCTACCTGCGAGTGGGCTTGACCTCATGCAGGGTGAAAATTAACGTGGACCAGATACGCTGCAATAGATGCTGGGAGCCAGGACACATCTCGGTCCAATGTAAGGGGGAGGACCGCAGCGCTCAGTGTTTTAACTGCGGGAACTCCGGGCACTACGCGAGGGACTGTAAGCTGGAAGCCACATGTCAAAGATGCGAGGGGCTGGCCCCAGGTCTCGGGGTAGGACATAGGGCCTACACTCTAGAAGGTGTAATTACGACACAAAGCGAAAGAAAATCGAGGCAGCTAAGATCACCGGTGTAGAGATACGGCTGACACGGGCGGAACAGGAGGTGTGCGATGCACACTGGCTTAACACCGCGAGGGCGAGCGACGGCGGAGCAACTAGTGCTAGTGGGCCGGACAATGTACCGGCGGTTATCGTCAAGAGGGTTGCACAGTGGTATCCTTGGATTTGGACCCAAATCATCAACAAGGCTCTCGAGACCAGGGTTTACCCCGGGCGGTGGAAGAAGGCAAATCTGGTCGTGGTACCTAAGGCAACTGGGAAGTACGGACCAATATGCCTACTAGATTTCTCGGGCAAAATTGCTGAAATGGTCATCAAAGAAAAAATAAGCGAACAAGTGGGGGACAATCTGTCACCGTATCAATACGGATTCCGGAGAGGAAGGTCCACCGAGGACGCGGTACTCCATATCCTTAGACGTTCAAAACGCTTTCAATTCCGCGTATAGGGAAGCAATAGTGGCCACATTGAAGCACTTAGGCGTTGAGTGGCAGCTAGTGACGCCATGGTGATAGCCGGGTTGCCTCCAGTTGGGATCACTGCGAAAGCGAGAGGGGAGAACTGGGATGTCGACGGCCTGATGAACGCATGGCAGGAGCGATGGGAAAAGCGGAAATCCTGGACACGGGCATTGATATGGGACGTCAGGGAATGGACCAACAGGATGCACGGCGAAGTCGATTACTATCTGACCCAGTTTCTGTCTGGCCACGGCGAAAATACCGGCTACCTCCACCGATTCGGAAATCGGCCAAATCCATCCTACGCAGACTGCGCAAACTTGAATCACCCAGGACGTGCAGTGCTGGAGTGCGCGAGATGGCACGCGCGCAGACTAGCAGCAGAAGTAGAGGTTGGCGAACACCTGAAAACGGAAACGGTGGTTCCAATTATGCTGAACACACCGGAAGACTGGAACGCCGTGCAAAAGCTGGTGACGGAAGTGGTCTCCAGAAGGGAGAGACAGAAACGCGACGCCCATTTAGGCGAATTAACAGATACACTAAGGCTACCAACCGGAGACGACCACCTGTCTTCGAGCTACCTCTCGAGCGAGAATGCTTCGGCGGGCCCTCGACGTCACCTAGCTTAGAGAGGATAGAGTTTTACTGGGTATACGCCAAGGGAGTCCACACACCCCCCGCTATAGAGGCGAGCGGGGCAGCCTATAAAAGGTTTCCCAAACCTGTATTAAAAAAAAGTATTAGGCGGGATAGAGGAGTGTCTTCCTGCTTCGAAATATTTGCGTTTATCTTGATTTTCCCAAAGCTGCCCAACATCGCACAGTGCCCGTTGCAATTTTAAATATGTGATCGTGATCGTCCCAAAAACTCAAAAATACTGAAGAAGCACAAACAATTGGAAGGATGTGAAGAAATTAAAGGAAAAGCAGAATCTGAAGCTGAAGAAGCAAAAAGAGCGATCAAACCAAAGCAGATCTTTTGTAATGTTTTCCAAGGGCTCCGTTCCAAACAATTTTACCTATCCCATCAGGCCGTTACTCTGCCTAGGCTTGTGCCGAACTCGTCTTCGGCTCGCTCGGCATTTATTTTAAAAAATTTAATTTAAAAAATTTTAGGCACCTCTAAATAGCATTATGCGGGTCACTCTGTAATTGGGCGCATGCCTGTTGAGGGCCCAAAACAAGAGAGGTATAATAAAAATAAAAAAAAAAATAAAAATAAAAACGATCACTTTGACTGCCTTCCATTTGTTCGTCATTGAAATGGGCCTGTTTTTTACACCCAAAAGTGATCGTTTTAACATCAGTGCCGAGCGAGCCTAAGGCGAGTTCGACATAAACCTAGGCACAGAAAAACTGATCGTTTTCGAATCAGTGCCGAGCGAGCCGAAGGTGAGTTCGGCACAAACCTAGGCAACGTAGAGGTCTGATGGGGTAAGTAAATTTGTACTAAACTCGTCTTCGTCTCGTTCGGTCCTGATTCTAAAGCTATTATTTTTTCGAAATTTCAAGGGAGAGAGAGAGAAGGAAACAGACAAACATCAGGTCGCCAGCAAGTCCCACCTAGTCTGTCGAGATTAATCACTGGCGATAAGGGATGAAGACGGATGTCACGTTTACTTCCCAGGAAATGTGATCTCATTCGGGAATTCGCGAGAATGTCCGTGATCTTTCTAGAAACTTTCCGTTTGCTATAAAAGTATTGCGTTTAAAAAACGTTCCATAATCGATGCCGAAGTGATTTTAGTGGAGTTCGTGCTCGTATGTGATAAATTTACCTATTTTACATTTGTGTACAAGTGAGTGATAAATAATAATTTACTGTCATAAATCAATCTATTTGTTAATAAATAAATCAAGTAATTAAATATACGTTACAGTTCTTTCATGCTCAATTTCATTAAAAATAATTTTTAAACTTGGTCGCCTTTCCTAGGCACCTCAATGTGGTCGAATTTTCGGAATAGATATTTTAGGATTTTTTTATTCTTCCGTTTCTTTGCATTCTTCCAATTCTTCAAATCCATTGGACTTGTAACATTCTTCGCATTCTTCCGTTTCTTCGACTGCCTTCGAGTCGTAAGGTTTCTCGGATTTTTTTGTTTTTTCTTCTTTCGAGACTATGCGAGGCCCTCAAATACTTAGGATTCTACATATTATTCCGGTGATCCTTCAGTTTTTTTTTAGATTCGTCCTTTCCTCTGCACCGCTTGGACAAAACAACTATTTTCGGGGGTGGAAATGAACTTTGGCAAGTCAAAAATCAGACACTGGGGTCTGAAGAAGTAGCGGGTGACAGATACAGGGCCTTGCCTTGGAGAATTATTTTTTAAATAGTCGCCGCACTAGTCATACTATCGATAAACCGAGTCCTTTGCAGATTCAACCCTTCGAAAATTGAAACCTATACACTACGTCTCACATTCCACCTTAATTAATATGTATGCCCTTCATCCAGCAAGGAAGACTGTGATTTACGGTTGGCATCTATCCAATTAAGTGCCCGACACGTAATTGCCACATTCCTGTATATCGTCGATGGAAGTCGTCATCAAAGACAAATTAGAGACTCGACCGCCTTTATGCTCAATTATGCTTGCAAATTCGCCGACACAACACTCCATATCAATCTCCAACGGCACGAAATTAACATAATTTCCCATTTCCAGGCGTTCCAGAATGAGGGATTGCGACGCGAGAATCTCGCCGAGAAGAAGGATAGACTCCATCCTCTCGACGACGTCCTTTTTTCGGTCGGGGATAATATAATGTGAGTATGTTTCGACTTCTTCAAGCGACTTTTACAAGCACTCGGAATATGGGATGAACTCGGATGATTTATGACGTCATGTCTTTTATTCGACCACGTAAGCAACCTACATGGGATCCGGGGAAAAATGTTTTAAAGTAAATGCACAAGGTGAGGTCAGGTCAAAGCACTACCGCATGGAAGTGAGTGCTACCCTCGGCGAAAGCAAAACGGCGGCGGCTTTCAGGTGCTATTCTAAAGCCTTTCATCTTTAATGAGAAACTCTCCTATTTAAGGGAAGTGGCTTGATTCATTTATATCTGCAAGCTACTGAATTTTGTATTAGAGTGGAGGTGGTTGTTGATTTACGAATTGTTAAGTTTGAGTGTGATTGCATTGAATTTAATTCCTAAGAGACCTTTGTAACCTATTAACGGATTTGTTTATTTTCCATTTTTTCTTGGGCGGAAAGTTCTATTGGTGGGAAAAGTTGTGCGTCCCAAAATGGTGGCAATCAAAACAGAAAAGTAGTGGGAAGTAGATAATTCGGGGAGAACCGTCGGCAAATGTGCCCACAACCGTGAGCAAAGTCAAGTCAACCACCTGTAAATGATGTAGGGTGAATTTTATTTTTTGTGTTAAAATTGATGTAGAACCGCGAGAAAACTAGCGTCGAACCGTGGGAGCGTTCGCGTTGAGCAGTCAGCGTAGTTAAGTGGACCACTTGTAAGTTAGCGAATTAGCGTTGAACCGCGAGTTGGTTAACTGTAGGTGATCGTGGGTTTTTGTGCGACCTGTGATTTACCGCAGAGTGGATTTTATGTTTTGTGTTAGTCGAATGCGTGACTTGTCCTATAAATATTATTTACGCAGCAATGGCGTGTACGTACAGTAGAGAAGTTGAACACTTGTGAATTGAAACGCGTATGGAAGAATGTGGAATAAAGTTGGGAGATCTCCAATTACAAGGGATAACTGGCGAATAGTGGGAGATTAAAGCCCGGAACTAAATTTGTATGTGGCCTTCAGTTACTGTATAAAAACATTACGCTAAATACGAACAGTGGTGGAAATTTTAACCCTTAAGGATAAAAACGAAGTCACCTTAAATGAAGTTTATTCGCGAGATATATTGGGATATACAAATAATTAGCAGAAATCAAATTCTGTGACACTGATAAAAAGAAGAATCGACATATTACTTAATGTTAATTTTATGGGATTGACGCTTACCGTCGGATCATCTAAAATTGTGAGTGACCTTGTATCAACTTCAAATCAAAGGTCAGTATGCCACCTACAAAACACTTGTCCAGCTTTTGAATTGAAACTCAGAAATTTATAATCTTTGCTTGTACTCTTCCAGCATCTGGTGGGAATGGGCGTATATCAAGGAGACGTAAAGGGGCAGTTGTGAAGGATATGCTCAAGTTACTCATCGTCAGTTTTGAATATTTCTCCTCTTCGCGTTGGATTCAAATCCAAGTGCACAATTAAATTCCGGTAAAGTACATTTATACTACCAACTACCTACGACTGCTTAAGACGGTCAGAGAGAATTCGCGTGGAACCGCTAGTGAATTAGCATGAAGCGGTCAGTGCGGTTAAGTCGGTCGCCTGTATTCATGATAGTTCGTGTTGAGCTGCGAGCGCAGTTAAGTCAACCTCCTGTAATGCACCGCAGGGTAGATTGTATATTTTTTATGTTCGAATTCACGAACCTCGCGAGAACTACGTCGAACCGCAGGAGCGTTCGCTTTGAGCTGTCAGCGTTGTTAAGTGGACCACCTGTATGTTATCGCGGGATGTTTTTATATTTTGTGATGAATGAGCATTGGCCCGCGAGAGAATTAGCTCGAAGTTAAATCGGTTAACTGTAGGTCACCGTAGGGTGGTTTTATTTTTTGCGATATTTACATTGGGCTGCGAGCGAAGTAAAGTCAACTACCTGTAATTTACCGCAGGGTGAATTTTATGTAACCTTCGTTTACGAGGGATCATTTACTGGTTAAAAACTATTACGCTAAATACGGACAGTGGTGGACATTTCTAACCCCACAAAGGTAGAAACTGAGTGACCTTACATGGAGTTTATTGGCGAGATAGGGAATATTACTGTAAAATACAAACAATTAGTGGAAGTGGAAGAATAAGTGGGGTGAGACATGATGAGAAAAGTTGCGAGTAAATAATGCAGTGAGGAAACCTCGGCGCAGAGGACATGACAAATGAAGAGTGAAGAATAAGAGATGAGGAAGCGAAAGAAAAGAGCGAATACACTCGGTTCTAAATTTCTAAGCAAAACTCAAAAAGGACATACTCAAGCTACTCATCGTCTCCTCTTCGCGTTGGATTCAAATCCAAATTGTGTACAATAAAATCCCGGTATAGTACATTTTTACTGGCAAGTGCCTACGACTGCTTAAGACTGCCAGTGGTTGCTAGTGGTTACCTCACTGCTTCTGACTGTCAATAACTGCAGGTGATTTACAATGTAGCACTTAGGAATATGATAAAATGCATTTGAATGAAATACGAGTATATTGAACGAGTATCCCAGACATCGGGGCGCCATCAGGAGCCATCATGTCGATAAAAGATTAGTTATCGGCGATAAGCGGTTCTTGATCACCAGGAATGGTGATGATCCTTATCACCTTAGCGATGTGGTGGCAGTTTATAGATTCATATTTTAATACGACGTGGTTTTGGGTTTTCGATTTCCTGTGTGGGTTCTACAAACCGTGTTGCTAGTGAGTTTCTGTCCTCGTTTTAAGTCCTTGTTTGGGTATCTAGGGAAGTGGCGTCCGTAGGTACCGCTTTTGGCCTGCAACATCAGAGTTGGGTTCTTTCTAAGACTCTATGCCATTTTTCCTTCTTCAATTAAGCACGGTTCATTATAGTAAAAGGGACACATGGGTTTTGATAACATTTTAAATGATTTTCTGGTTAAAACTCGGTCAAATAGAGAGTTTTTTTTGTCAGTTTAGAGTCTGGAGTTGATTTTTTCTAGGGTTGCTCACTATCTAGCAGGACTTTTTATTTTATTTTATATGTGGACTAGTCCTGAAATACGGTCCTGACTTTTTAACTGCGTGTGAAAACTGGCGGCGCTGGTGATTCGTGAGATATGACTTGATTACAGGAATATTTTGTTTATTTTTCAATCGATGTTATTGAGCCTACTACGTAGCGTGGGTTTTTCGGAGTCGATTTATGACTGTCAAGCACTCGGACTGATCAAAAAGTAAATTAGTGGGAAGTTGGTTGTTCGGAAGGAACCGTCATTCGAATTGGTATAGAATCGCGAGAGAATTCGCGTCGAACCGTGATACAATTAGAGTAATTTAGCGCACAGAGTGCGTTTGATTTGTGTTAGAAAATTAACGCTATACCGCGCGCAAAGTGAAGTGAACCACCTGTAATTTATCGTAGGAGTGAATTTTATGTTGTTGTTCGAATTGGCGTGACGCGATCAACGGAGTTCAGTTAACCATACGTAAGTTAGCGCAGGATGGATTTATTTTGTGAAAAAATTAGCATCTAACCGTGCGAGAATTTGCGTTGAACCGCGCGTGAAGAGGTCAGAGCAGTGAAGTCGGTCACCTGTAAATTAGCACAGGATGTGTTTGATTAGTGTTAGATAGTTCGTGCTGAGCTGCGAGCACAGTTAAACCAATCCCCTGTAATTTACCGCAGGGTGGATTTTATATTTTGTGATATTCCAATTCGCGCTTAAATGTGAGATAGAGTTAAGTTAACCACCTTGTTAATTATTACTTTCGGAAATATTTCGTGCGCCTACAATAGTGAAAAGATGCAAAGAAGGACGGGAGCCTAAAATAAAGGAAACGTACAGAAATAGAGCGACATGAAGTAGGTGAAGAACGAAGGCGTGAAAAGGGGAGTTTTGGATGGAGATGTAATGGAAGCTGTCCAGACGCGTGAATATGTTTAATTTTATTGCCTTTATTTTATTTTATTTGTTTCTTCCGTTCGAAAATCATCCCATTCAGCCAGATTTTATACGACCATATTATTTAGATTATTAAGAAAAAACTTAGTAATTTTGAGATTTCTTATTTTAATATTCGACCGCGTGCGTGCGGGGTATTATGTCCAAAAAAGCTTTGTAAGGTTTTTTTGTTTTATTCTTTCTGAATAAATTTTATCATTGTCAATCACATAATTGCAGTGTTTATTCGAATCCATTGTGCGAGCCGGATAGTTTTCATGTCAGATTTTTCGTTTCGCGCCCAAGAATTATGTCAGCAGTTAATGAAAATGTGTGTAATTCGTTGGAACACATGGAAATTTTTTTCTTCATTTCAGAGAACTAAAAGATCTTAAACTCACGAAGACACCCGACTACCGTATCAGCAGCTTATCGGCAGACTTCGCCATGTTAACTCTACACGTGACTATAAATTTAGGCGATTTAAAGATCGAGGGCGACTACGAAGCTAACAACAAGACCCTTCAATACTTCCTTCCCATCGTTCATACTGGAAAAGTCAGGTGAACCTGTCGCGTGTTAACCTCGAATTGTAAATTCACAGATTTGATCTTGCAGAATAACGTTCGAGAACGTCACGGCTACTGGACGCATAGGGATGTTTATTAAAGAAGATTCCTTCGTCGTCGAGCATTACGATTTAGTCTACACGCCACGTGACGTGGCCGTTCTGGTAAGTTTTGGTTTGAGCGGGCTTACCGTTAACTCTGGTTTTTTGCAGGTTCTGTACAAGGAGGAGAACTCGGATGTGCGTGTCGAAAACGAAATCGCGCGACAGAAAGTTGGTAAGTCGGAATTTACTCACGTTTAATTCGCATCCTTTTGGGTTAATCATCAAGTGTGTAGTGAATGGTGACGAATTCTCGCAGCAAATGCTAGAACAAAAAGTTATTGTGAGTACAGTCTTGTAAAATTCTTCCTAAGACCTAAGTTTTTTACTGTTTATCATCGTTTGGCGATCCTGAACTCTCAAAATTGAAGTTACCTGAACCCGAATTAATAACTTTTGTCACTACCAATGGTATATCTCGGAATACACGCCCTCTGAAGGGTTTCCGCAAAAATAATTTTCTTCCTCCTCCACTCTGATAGCGACAGAGCCATGTCTTCACGAATTATCCGCTAAAAAATGCGTGAAATATGATTGTTCGGAGGAGAGGAAAAAATTTGGAGAATTAGGGGAATAGATATACAATACTGAATCTTGACCGTTCAAGGTCGCTCGCCAGCTTGAGGTGACCTTGTAAAGTCAATCAAAGTGAAAGGTCGCGTGCCACGTGACGCTAACCTTGGAAAATAGGTCAAGGGCATTTCCTTTCAAGCTCGCCTCATTTTTGCAGCGCACAAGTTACTCCCAAGGTCATTAAAGATTTTTGTATATTTAATTTTCAAGGTTGCGTGCAGTTGGCGTTCACTTTTGGGTTCCAGTTTACGTTTGATTTTGCGTTCACGCTCGAGTTCGCAAACTGACGCCCAAACGTGGGTTCGTCGACCTGTGGTAGCCTTGAAAGTGAAATATGAACACAAAAAATGGAGCCATTAACCTCTGATAACCTTAAAAGCGAATGCCCTTGAACATCACCTTGACTTACTTTCTAAGGTCACCGCTATGTGACTCGCAACATTTCACCTTAACCTACTTTCCAATGTTACCTTACCGCATAGCGGCAAACGAGTTTGAACGGTCCAGGATTGGATTGGTGGTATATCTACTGGGAGGGGGGCATGTAAAACTAGGATACCCACAAACTCAAATTTCCGTCGCTTACTCGACTTTAAATACAACGGAACGGTTCGAACTGCGCCCATTTTTCACAATACCTTATCACTTGTTATCGCCAGACATACTGTTGATCACGTTTGCTATGAAGCGGTACATGTGGAAATTTCCCTATGTCGACCAATGCAAATTCAAAATTTTAAATTGCCAAGCGACCACCTGTTGCAATATGCCCTTCAATGTCCGTCAAATTCCACTCATACTGCAACCGCAGTTTTAGGATGAACTTTCACTAAAAAATCTGTATCTTCACGTCAAATTTCAATCCATTCCCTCTTAAATATCGTTCAGTTGACCTTAAATTATTCTCGATCTCTCTTCAAGTTTATGTCAAATGTTGTTCAAAGGGTCTTTAAATTCTCCATAAATTGCCTTAAGATTTACCTTAAGTTCACCTCAAATAGTTCTCAAGTTCTTAACCATACAGTTCTCCACTGAAATTCCCAGCAACACGTCTCTCACCTCATGTCCAATTTGAACGTGACGTGAAAGAATGGGAAGGTCACAAAGTTATTACTAAAACGGCCACGAGAAAAACCTGGAAAATATTTTTAAGTTTCTGAAATGGCCGCTAGGGGGCGTAACTGCAATCTGGAATCTAAAAAAGTGATTTTTCTGTGAATTCCGCTATAATAACCTAACAAAAAAATATCCCGTCTTTGAAGACGACGATAATGTGAACCTTTTTTGTTTGACAATTTTTCCTGTATCTCTAAAAATGAAGTGGTGGGGGATATTCAAAGGTTTCCGTAAAGAACACCCTGTATCTTCGAAACGGCTGAGCCGATTTTAATAAACTCGGATTAATTGCAAAGAGTTATTCTTCGGCTACAAATATTATAATATTTGAAGTTTTGTTAGTTTCACATATCGCCGCTTGAGGGCTTTTTTCGACATTCCCACAGAAATGGTTAATTTTCTCAAAAAAATTAAACGCATTGGTTTGATTTTTTTTCATAAAAAAGTAGCTAAATGAATCCTAAACAAGATCGCGAAAACCGCATCTCGATATCTTGTTCCTAACCTAAATTTTAGGCCAATGAGAATTGTATACCCTCAAAATTTTATTTTTTTATGCTAATTTTTCCGGAATTATTTTTATTATATAATTTGTGGCCCTAAGGTGGATCGATTTAAAAAAAGGAAGCTTTTAATACCGCCGTAATGCTCGAAATCACGATATATATCTCAAGATATCGAGATGCTGTTTTCGTGAGCTTGTTTAGGCATCATTTAGCTACTTTTTCATGAAAAAAAATCAAACCAACGCATTTTGAGAAAATTAACCATTTCTGTCGGGAATGTCGAAAAAAGCCTTCAAGCGGTGATATGTGAAACTAACAAAACTTCAAATATTGTAATATTTGTATCTGAAGAATAGCTCTTTTGAACTAACCCGAGTTTGTTTAAATCGGCTCAGCCGTTTCGAAGATACAGGGTGTTCTTTACGGAAACCTTTGAATAACCCCCCACTACTTCATTTTTAGAGATACAAGAAAAATTGTCAAATAAAAATGGTTCAGTTTGTCATCGACTTCAAAGACCGGACTTTTTGTTAGGTTAATATAGCGGAATTCACAGAAACATCACTTTTTTAGATTCCAAATTGCAGTTACGCCCCCTAGTGGTCATTTCAGAAACTTAAAAATATTTTCCAGGTTTTGCTCATGGCCGTTTTAGTAATAACTTTTCTTACCGCAAGCTTCTACGATAGATAGATTCTCAGATACAGTACCTCACATTCTTAGTTGGCCACCATGTACATTATAAAAAAAGTGACTCTAGCATGATTGTTTTTTTTTCGAATTTGGTTTGTTGATAATTTTGTTGTTTTATTCTGAAGGCTAACTAAATAAAGCAAAGGGAGGAGCTCTGAAATGGTTTCTACAAAAAATGATGCCCTTTTGAACCCCCTCCCACTTTTTCTCAATTCTAATAGTACAAGAAACATTCTCCATTAATTTTCAACATTTAGAAGAAACAGTTTCTTATAGGTCTAGCTTAAAAAGTAAGAGATATGCAATGCTTCACGCTGTTCCGTAGATTTTGGGAAGTGCTGAGGAAAGGAAGGCACGTTTTTCCGCATACTAAATTTGGACGTCGCTGTAATGTCCAAAATACGTAGCTTTTAAGGCTGTCATTAAGGGTTTAGAGAAATCTTTGAGAATCAACAACAAAAAATGGACTCTTCTGTTAATCCCTCCTACCTTTTTTTCAATTCCGTTAGCGAAAGAGCCGCCCTCTATCGATTTTTTACATTTAAAAGGAAAAGCTGAAGAGATTCAGGGATTATCGCCCAAAATGTAATGTTTCACGCTTTTCTTTAAATTTTGAAACCGCAAACAATTCTAGAAGCGAATCATAGAATCCTCTTTCATCCTCATTACTCACCAGAGCCAGAGCCAGCTCTTTGGCAATTTTTACTCACTAATCCAAAATCAGTGAGGAATGGACATTAAAACGAATGCTGTACAAAGTGGAAACGTCGCTCTACAAAAAGTATGTGAATAGAAAAGGGAAGTACTTCAAAGAGTGCCAATTATAAAATGAGAATTTTATAGATAAACTTCGTTTATTTGATGAACAGTCCTCGTACAGCTAAATTGGCTAATTTGTGGTTTTAAAATGAGGTCTCAGAGAAAGTATGAAATATTTAAGCGAACTTTAATTCTATGCACAAACTGGATACTGTGTTTAATGCATAAAATTACCTTTTAAAATTCAATTTCCGAAAGTTTGCCGACCATCAAAAAGTACACTCTAACGCTTTTAGCTTATAGACGAACTTTCCGTGCAAAGGACATCGAAACGCTGAAGAGCTCTTCTCTGCTTACGTTAAGTTTGCACCTCCTTCGTTCATTTTTTCGAAATAAGTACTCGACTCAATTTATAACAGTAATTGATTTTCGATGTTGGAGTGAAGAACGCTGTTAGTTCAGTACAAATTGGCGATCCATGATTTCTCTGAACGATAAAGGGTTTTAATAAAAGTTGCTTTATGGGGTTTGTCGAGAGCTTTATACGTTTACGTTGGCAGTATTGCGTTTTCTTTTTAAATTTCCATTAAGCACGTCGCTTTGTATCAACTTTATTGGTACAAAGTAATAAAGTTTTCATTAGAAGCTGCAAGACGAACATGCGAGACCTCTGTGCATTATTTGCATTAATAGCACGTGTGACACGGCGATAGCTATGCGAAAATCTAATAGTCACGTAATATTTGTGTTGTTAAAGCAAAGCGTAATTAGATTTAATTAAACCGCGCGTTTTCATTATTTTCTTTTGATATCTCGACGGTATGAATCTCTACAGATGTACGATGCACTTCGGATCCGTACGAGTTTTTCTATTATGAAAGTTAAAAATTAACGGTTCTATTTTTTGCGAGGTTGGTCTACTAAACTCGATTAGTTTATCTGTGCATTTAGCTTTCTGCTCAAATTCATTTCACCGATCGTAGTGGTTTTCACCTCAATAATTACAAAAGATATTAAAAGAAGGGATCATATTTCAACAGAGGTGATTTTTTAATGGAAATTGGAATTCGTTATCAATGCATCAATGTCTCCGTTGATCTCCGCAAAGCACGCACGTTCGAATTTAATGACGGTCGCCCGAAGCATTTGCGTTTCATTTGTTTCTCTCTGTTGCAGAAGACACAATCGCGCTGACCTTCTGGCCGGAACTCAAAGATACAGTAACTCGCCTGCTACATCGCCAACTGCAAACCGTGATTGTAGAAGAATCCGTTAATGATCTTTTCGGGGAGAGCGACGTCGAACTGCGGTAAGTAATTTGATCTGCAGGTGGAGGAAGTTTTTAATTTATTTCTTTTTTTAATGCATCTTGTTGGATGCAGAAAAGTTTTAAATTGGAAAAGTGCTAAGTTTGTTTCGTTTTTCTTTTTGGAGTTTGCCTCTTTGAAGAGGTGAGTCCGTTTGGTTCACAAAGTATGCATTCAAATGCGTTTGTTCGCAATTTTCGATTTTTTTACCTTCACGACGTTATCGACACAAGTATACAACATTAAAATCTCCCCTACAATTACCCATTAGGTAATTTATATACCGGGTATATTAAATGCTTCTTGGTTAGAAATCGGCATTTTAGAAAAGATTACAAATTTAAAAAACTGCACTTTCTGAATGTAAACACAGCATAATAATTTACAAATTACGACTGTCACTATTTTATAATGCATCGTGTTTCATTTGTTTAATTTTCCAAGGCCACCTAAAAGTGTAGGGTGCTTTTCCAAACAATCTTTCGCGCCATCGACAAATACGTCAAAAGTAAATTTAAGATACAATTTAAGCATATTAATTAATTAATTAATTAATCTCATTTTCCCAATATTTGAGGTTAGGAACGAGATTTTGAAAAACGTTTCATTGCCCTCTTTGGGTGTTATTTTCATATTACATTCCATTTAATTTTTTTTTTTTTTAGGATGTTGGGCCATAGTGTCAAAACTAGCCCCCTGGCGGAGTAGGATTCAACTAAATTACCTATATTTGATTCTTATTGCCCAAGGAATTATCTTTTCAACGATACCAAATTTGTTAAAATCGGTCAAACGGTTAAGAAGTTAAAGCAGGTTATTGCGAAAACAATTGAACGCCCCACGCCATCTTTGTTTTTGAAATAATAATGATTTTTTGTTTTTGCGAAAATGATAGATAAACTGTTTCTCTTTAAAAATGTGAAAAAAGAATGTTTAGTTTATATGCAATTTTAAAATTTAAGATGGCAGTTACGCCCTCTTGTGGTCATTTTTAGAAAATATTTTCCATCGATTCTTCAAAACCGATTTACCCAATAATTTTTTTTTACCCCTAAGTCATACGACGAACGGTTCTCGAGATATGGCCGAGGACAGTCTTATTGGGTCACCCGGTACATATCTGCAACCCTGATACGCTCGTGAGAGAAATTTTTAGCACGAGGTTTTTGAGAGGTTTAACGTACTGGCAATCCTGAATAGTTTTTGGAACAAAATCTTTCAGCAGGGGAAGAAGAGGTGTGGCCATAATGGGTTAATTTTTGACACAAAAATCTGGAACAGGAGAACATAACACGGTAGAAAACTTTGGCGACAAATAAAATGATTGTGGGTTATGTGACTTTCTATATAACCACCAAATTTAGCCAAAGCCCATACTACTGCAAAGGCCTTGCGTTCGATGGTGGAGTAGTTTTCCTCTGCTACAAGATGGGCATCGAACATCGTCTTTTAAGCGCGGTCATTCTGAGATAACTTTGAACGCCGTGTGCCGGTTTTTTCTACAACTCATTGAAACGTCATTTATTAAACATGCTTGTTCAATTAGGCGTGCTCACACTTTAATACTCATCAATCCTATTGTTAATTGGAATTTTTCGGCGCAACAACGGTTCTCGTTATCTACATCCCGGAATGTCTGCAAGACCAGTAACGTGTAATTTCAGAACTCTTCAGTAACGAAGCGTTAAGCCTTAACGCTTCTCGATACCGGGTGTTCAGCAAAGCTGGACGATTCTGCAAATATACGGTCTGAGCATTTCGTACAATTGTTGTTGCAGTATGGTAGTTTTCGCGGCCATTTATCCGATATGTTGGGGATGCAAATGGTTTGCGTGGTTTGGTCTCAACGTGGAAGACCATGTATGGTCTCGGCTCTCCTCCTGGTGTAAAAATGTTCCTTCGTCGGGTCTTAAAATACGCACTATCCGTAGTACTCAACGCTTTTATTGGTACGATTGGTCGCACTATTATCTTTTGTATCGCGGAAAATTTACGAGGTGGAAGCCTACCCCCACTCGTTGTTGGCAGTTCTGACATTAGCCGAGGGTTACTTCAGAAGTGCCACATCTAAAGCACGCGACCGGTGTGACGGTGGTTGCGAGTAGTTATACAGGGCCGATCTTGGCTCCGTTCAAGGTCGCTCGTTACCTGGCGGTAACCTTGGAAAGTAGGTAAAGGTCACTGACGGTGACCTTGGGAATTAGGTCTAGGTGAAAGCCGCGTGCCACGTGGGCGGTTCAAAGGGCTAGTTGTAGTTATCGTATTTTATTTTTTGGGGTGTCAAATTACATTTACAGGGTCAATGATCTGAATTGATGTGGCGTTAAATTAATTTTTAAGGGCATATAAGGTCAATGCCTCCATTTTTGCGGTGTTAAATTACATGTTCGAGGTCATCCAAGGTCAGTGACCTCAATTATTGTGGTATCAAATTAGATTTTCAATGTCATCCAAAGTCAATGACCCCATTTTTACGTTAAAATTCAAATTTCAAGAGCATTCAAGGTCATGACTTCATTGTTATATTGTGTCGAGGTCATCTACGGGCAATGCCCTCTTTTTTGTCGTGTCTAATTACATTTTAGAGTTCATACAAGGTCAGTGAACCTATTTTCTTTTGCTGTAGCAAATAACATTGTCAAGACCATACAAGGTCAATGGCACCATGTTTTGCGATCTCAAATTGCATGTAATCCAAGGTCAAAGTCCTCTTTATGTGGGTCTCATTATATTCTCATGGTCATCTGAGGTCATTGACCCTTTTTTGTGTTGTCAAATTCAATGTCATACGAGGTCATTGGCCCCTTTTTGTGGCGTCAAATTACATTTTCCAAGGTTTTCCGAGGTCATTTACTCCATACATTTTCAAGGGCATCCGAGGTCATTGAGCCCATTCCCCGTTGTCCTCTGTTAGTAACGTTGCGGTGACCTTGGAAAGTAGGCCACATGTAATTTAACATCCCAAAAATGGGATCATTGGCCTTGTATATTCTTCAAAATGTAATTTAGCACCACATCAATTCAGATTATTAGCCTTGTAAATGTAATTTGACACCCCAAAAAAATAAAATACGATATTTTCACCTTAATCTAATTTCCAAGGTCACCGATACGTGACTTTGTCCTATTTTCCAAGGTCATCACCAAATGGGGATCGACCTTGTACTGTGCCAGGATCGCCCCAGCATAACTACTGTTGCGTTACTGTTCGCTTACGCTTTCGGCACTCGTCCCGTATGTGTCCTAGGTATTTTCAGTAGGTAGAGCGTGGTTTCTTTGTGCAGTCTTAGGTTGTGGGTTGCTGGTCGGCGTGGTGGTGTCGTCCTCTTTAACCTTACGAAGTTCTTCGAGTAGTTCCGCAAAGGATGTGACAGACCCGCAACGTGTATCAGAAGAACATATAATGCGTTCTCTCATACCATGTGGGAAAGAGAATTTATCTCCAAATGGTTCTCTATCAGTAGCACAGAAGGTCGAGATGTAAGGCGAAGGTTTATTAGCAGATTCGTCCAAGATTGGTAGCAGGAAATATGATATTTTTCGGTAACAGAATTTGGAACATGCGAAGATAATGCTTGTCGCTCTATGTGATGGGCGGTTAGATGATATACAACGCAAAAGCGCACCTTCGCGCAAGATTGGGCACGATTTTTAACCACTAGCAGTCTAATCAGTTAATTATTATTTATCACTTCGACATCAACGTTAAGACTAGGACTAAACACAATTAGATTTGCTTATACAGCAAACAAAAAGCGTTTTTAAAGGTCTCGAATTAATATATGTCATGTCCACTCCCTTTGCTTATCGCCAATGTCTAATCCCTTATCGACTTGATGGCGCCTTGATGTCGCTCTCTACTATCTAGAAAATTCGCTACAATACAGTTTAAATAATTATTGAATAACACTTTTTTGCTCTCTACTTCTACTTCTCGATTGTAACTAACTACCGCTCATATAATCCAGATAGGATTTAGTAGAATTACTCCACCCATCATTCTCCCCACCACTCTGGATCGTGCAAGAAAAAATCTTGACTTCGAAGGATGCTTCATCTCACCTCGCTGCACTGTTTCTGTTGTGAATACTTGACAATATAGGCCCTTTCCCGCGATTTGGCTGCGCCGCCTCGCCTCCCGTAAACAATTGGTCAAACCTCTGCACTTGCATTTAAACAAACAAAAGGCTGTAGTTTAAATATGTGCGGTAGCCCGAAACGATTACATGCGTTAAAGCACCAAAATGCTGTATAAATTTACGGTACAATATTTTTCGATGAAACTCCATTATTTTTAATCGTGGAAGAATAAAAGCCTCCTGAATATTAATAAAGCGTTCAGATGTGGAACATAAAAGTGGCGGGTTATGTGAAAATCGATAGCCACAACTATACAATGTATGTATGTCGCGCTAAAACGTGATTTTTGTTTCAGAAATCACGCCCATCAGCTGATCTTGAAGGCGAATCGCCTTGTGGACTCCCTTTTGTGCACCGCAAAGAGCAAAATCGTCTCCGGCAGTGTGAGGATGGTGGAGGCGCCCGAGCTGAACGTCATTTTCAAAGGGAGGCATCCTAGTCAGGAGCAAGGTTTGCTTGAAGCGAGGGGCGGCTATGTTCAAGATCTATCTACGTTATCAAGGTGCAATAATGTCAGCTTTTACGAGGACGAGAAGGATGTCATTATTTACGGCAGTCTCCATTTGAGGGAGTTTAAGGTAACGTTCAAATTTCTCCCTCATTTCAGTGTCGTGCGGTCGTTTCCTTTTTACCAAAGAAGGCTCTTAAAGTTTTCAAAAATTTGCAATTTGCAAAATTCATATCACAATACACGTAAATCCCTGTGTCTACTTCTTAATAAATATCACTGTATCTAAAACTTTCGTTACAAATCGTAATTTCCGGTTCTGCATGTCAAACCACAGAAGAGGTACGATAAATTCTAAAAACGAAAAGATTCCGAATATTTTGTACAAGCCACCGGCAATTCGTAATTTTATTTGTCAAATTAATGTTGTTTGTCACCAAATTTTGTGTGTTACAGGAAAGTAAAGTTCAGAAGCTAAGAGCGTTTGTGTGTGAAGTTGAGTTCCCTTTGTTATCGCAAACCTTTGTACGACCAAATTATTAGGATTATCAAAAGTAAAAAAAACTATGTACTTTTAAGGTTTTCTTATTTTATTTGTCGAACGCTTGCGTGCGGGGTATTATGTCTGAATAAGCGTTGTAAGGTTTTCTTTCTCTCAAGAATCTTGTTTTAATTTTTTCCTTTCATTTGGTCATTGTCAATCAATTAATTGTGTGTTTATTCGAATCCCTTGTGCTACCCGAATAGAGTTTTCATGTCAGATTTTTGTCTTTTCGTGTCCAGGAATGGTGTCAGGTGTCGAACGGTGAACTTAACGCAAAAAAACTGCAACTCGATACGCCCCCTCGTTTTCCAGTTACTCGGGGGTGGCATTAAGCGGGGGAAGGTGCTCTCGGTGTACGGTGCGTTCGATACGTTCAATAAATGTTTGCCCAACAACGCCTTTTACATACACCGTGGTCGATGAGAAAGGAAGATCGGGAGTTTCCGATTGTTAGCTTAAGGGGCCACTTTCCTTTAATCTACTACTAGCGTTTCAGCAGAAAATGAAAATCCCATGCCCTGCAAATGAAACTTTTGACGTAAATTATTATCCATTTCAGCAACTTGTTGCGCATACCTCGGGGACTTTCCTTTTCGGAGGGATAAATTAGTTTTCACACATTCAAATTTGACTTCAGCAATCATCCCCTTGTCCTTTATCCACGCGACCGTGACATTTCCATTTTCAACATTTCTCGCTAATCTATCAAAAGTATTATTTTTTCCAAAATCGATTACTAATTTCTCACCTCTTTGAATTACAGTACGGATACGAGAACTACAAGGGAAGGCAGGCAAACGCGTCGGTCGGAGGAAGTATCAGAGGAATGATATATCGCAATAAGATCTTCGTGAAGCTCTCTTTGTCGAAAAGTCAGGAGCACTGCGTGACCCAGCTGGAAGCCGTCCAATTCCGCTCAGTCAAGTAAGATGCATGTCTGCTTTATTTTTGTTTAAGATTCGTGTAAATATTTACGGTGCCGATTGCATTTCTTAACTTGCGCAATCCCGTCTTTTGATTTGTTATTTTAGTGCGTCACGCCTGGTGGATTCACAACGACGTGGTGTTGTCGGTTTCGGAAGGCTGGCGTAATCCCGTTTCTATTTCTGGAACAGGAATTTGATTCATAAAAGAAATCAAAAGCGAATTCTTTCAAATTTTTTTAATAAATTATTATACTATCAGGGTCACAGGAATACCGAAATAATCTATTAATAGGCACCCTCTAACGAATCATGTTCTCTGATACCAAATTTGCTCAACAAGAGCAAGTATAAAAGCGGAATAATATTTTGCAGAGATCATCTCAAGATTATTGTTATATCTGGCTAACAGAGACGTTCTCCTGATACAAAATTATACAGGGTGTTCCTAAACCTGGGGTAAATACGGAAGGGGCTAATTATTTGGCTTATTTTATTATGAAATTTTGGTGTAGTCGATTTTTGGTAAAAAGGGAAGATTATACACTGCCTTTTTTTGAGGTCCGAAAAAAAAATTGTCTCAGATCGACCCGGAAAAAAATTTTCTTATAGAATGTGGCCTGTAGAATTCATAATATGAAACAGTTCCAAGGTTGGGCTACTAGATCAAAAGTTACAGCCCTTTGAATTTTCTTTCGAAATTGGTTTCTAGTCTATAACTTTTGATTGAGAAGTGTAATCGAAAAAGTACGAATTGTTTTGAATTCTACGCACCAAAATTAATAAGAAAAAGTGTTTTCCCGAGAAATTTTGGTGTAGTCGATTTTTGGTAGAAAGGGAAGGTTATACACTGCCTTTTTTTGAGGCCCAAAAGAAAAAATGATTCAGATCGACCCGGAAAGAAAGTTTTCTTATAGAATGTGGCCTGTAGATTCCATAATATCAAACAGTCCAAGGTTGGGCTACGAGATCAAAAGTTACAGCCCTTTGAATTTTCTTTCGAAATTGGTTTCTAGTCCATAACTTTTGATTGAGAAGTCTAATCGAAAAAGTACGAATTGTTTTGGATTCTACCCACCAAAATTAATAAGAAAAAGTGTTTTCCCGAGAAATTTTGGTGTAGTCGATTTTTGGTAAAAAAGGAAGGTTATACACTGCCTTTTTTTGGGGCCCAAAAGAAAAATTGATTCAGATTGACCCGGAAAAAAAATTTCTTATAGAATGTGGCCTGTAGAATCCATAATTTCAAACATTTCCAAGGTTGGGCTACTAGTTCAAAAGTTACAGCCCTTTGAATTTTCTTTCGAAATTGGTCTCTAGTCCATAACTTTTCATAACTATTTAAATACCTTGCGAAGTATTCGAATACTAAATATTTGTGAAAGTATTTAAGTTACAAATACAAATACTGCTTCCATAAAAGTATTTAATTACAAAGTATTTAATTACAATTACAAGTTTCGTATTCTAGCAGATCTTTTTACATATCCAGTTCACGTCTCTTTAACGTCGCGTATTGGCCACCTCTGATGCCTCTTTTACGCTTTCCTTGCCCTTTACTTTCCTATTTTTGTTTTTTTCATATTTCCTTCTCATTCATTTTTGGCGCATTTTTTAAGAACTAAAAAAAATTACCATTGTTTGCGTTTCGTCCATCCGTCCGGACCCACTTCGGCGGTTTTGAACTCCTTTAGGGGAATTGTTCTAGAGGCCTAGAGTTTTTTTTTGCAACACATTCTAACCTTCATAGTAATGAAGTTGCCGATCGGGCCGACAATTGTCGATCGAGCCAGTTGTCGATTGGCCCGACAATTGTCGAACGGTCCGACAGGTGTAGATCGGCCCGACAGTTGCCGATGGGGCCGACAGTTCTCGATCGGCTCGACAATTGTCGATCGAGCCAGTTGTCGATTGACCCGACAATTGTCGAACGACCCGACAGTTGTCGATTGGGCCGACAATAATATGAAAGTAGAGAATCGAAAAATTTTGAAATCAACTTTATGAATGTCACAGCAGGGCAGACGTCTTCTTTCCCAATTGATTTTCCAATACAATAATTAATAAGTAAATATCGTTAGTGCATCAGTAACAGCTGACGAGTTTCAAATTACCCTCTTCGAACCAATCGCGTGACACTAACCGATTGAGTTTTAGACAAATATCGATTAATTCACCCCCGCACCCTCGACCGCATATCTTTAATAAGTACAAAGAAATATAAAAATATATCGAGTTCGAAACGATCGCATTAGACGCGAAAATGCAATCAACTTTTTATTTCCAATGCTAAACAGGCATCAGCAGCTATCGTCTCAAATTTTTTATTGCACGCCATTCCGTTTCGTTTCCTTATGCATCAACGGCCATGGAAACGTTTTTAGTGTCGCCAATAATAAGGCTTTAATGAAGTAAAGCTGTCCCGTATGGGAATTTAATATGTCGCCTTCGGAAATTTTCCGGTCGAGACTATTTCTAGCTTTCCGCTTCGTAGAGTTCCGATTGAAGACCCAGCGGAAATGTTTGAAATATTTGAGAAAATGAAAATTGAAAAGCGAAGTCAATACATAAGTATTTTGCTAGAAGCAAAATGTTTCATTTTCCTTCGATCGTCAATAATAGAAATTGGGGAAAAATGACGATGCTCTGCGAAGCCTCGGCTATTGGCTAAAAGTACATTTAATTAAAATGGTACTGGTCAAAGAGTAAAATTAAGATTTTGTAATTTTTTGGAACTTTTTTTGAAGATTCTTGAATTTGATTGATTTTTTTTATTCCCCCTAATTTAAATGTTGAATTTTTTTCCAGATTCGTGGAGTTTTTTTAATTACTCTAAATTATCCATTTTCTTATATTTCCGAAATCTGTCTAAATGTGTGTCCATTATTAAATGATTCATCTTCCGTTTCTCAGATCCTGATATGATTCTTTGCGGAAAAGGAAAAGGAGCTGGGTTGGACTGGGTCACGCATACTGTGACCCAGTGATCCAGTTAGTCTATTGACCCAGCGTATTTTGTACATTTTTTTATCAGGAGCACAGAATGCGTTCGAAATAATTTGTAAAGAAATTACTTCCCTTTAGCATATTTTACATTTCTGTGATCCTTGTTCAATCATTTTTTGAAAAACATGAATCTTAATGTATTAGGCGTCTAGCGATGAATAATACTATGGTGCTATAAGTTATGTCTCTACTGCTTTTGTGGTTCTAATACCAAGCTTTTTGCAAAAAAAACTTTGCATCGAAAGGACATAATGCTTTTGCAACAATCTAGAAGCTTCTCAGGCGATTATCAAGAAGTTAAGTTCCCTTTATACCTTGTTACGTTCCTGTGGTCCTAATCATTTCTTTAAATCAATGTTTTGATACAAAGGAGAATGTCAGGCAGTGTCTTACATTTTTCTTCCTTGTCCCTGATACGATAAGATTTTTACGAAAATTTCCGATACTTGATACAATTATGATTATTTAGTACTGAAAATTTTTCCTCGGGAGATCATAAAACGCTAGAAATCTTCTTCAAAACAATTATTTCTCCGTTGCACCTTTTTACGTTTCTGTGAACCTGATTCAATAATTAAAATTTACCGTAACAAAATATTAGACATCCGGAAACCCAAATACCGGTAGACTGTTCCTAACGACTTCGGGTAAAAACATTTCACAGACAAACATGAAAAAATTCTTCTATCATGTCCTCCTGGTACTAGACTTTAATTAAAATAGATTATCAGAACCGCAGGAACGTAACAATGTATAAGGGGAAAATATAGTTTTAACATCAGATGTCTTCTGATGATTACCTTGGGGATAAATGTCCGTAAGAAATTTAGATAGAATTATGCGAACGGATGAGAAATAAACCTATACGGAAGTCTTATGTTCTCCTGATCGATTCATCAATAGACACCTGATACTGATCATTTTCTTCAATTTGAATTCCGGGTGTCTGTCATTTTGTTCCGGTAAATTTTAAGTTGTGCAGGAGATTTTAGTTTTTGAATTTCCGGATGTCTGCCCTTTTGTTGCGGTAAATTTGAATTCGTGCGGGAGATTTGAATTTTTATATCTGGATGTCGGCCATTTTGATGCAATAAATTTAAATTTGTGTAACAGATTTGGGTTTCCGGATGTCTAATATTTTGTTGCGGTAAATTTGAAGTTGTGTAGGCGATTTGAATTTTTGAATTTCCGGATGTCTGCCATTTTGTTGCAGTAAATTTGCATTTGTGCTAGAATTTTTATATCCGGATGTCGGCCATATTAATGCAGTAAATTTGAATTTGTGTGGGTGCTTTGTCGTTTTAAAAAATTCGTATTGATTTTGTATTTTGTTAAACATAGTGAAATTTCCACATGTACCGCTTCATAGCAAACTTGAACGAAAGTAAGTCTGGCGATAATAAGAAAGGTATTGGGAAAGCGATCTCATCGGACTTAAAAGCTGCGTTCGTTCCATTTGCGCCGGCTGGAACAGCCGAAATGCGGATTTTCTATTGGATGTTAGGGCGCGCCAATCGAGGGCGTTGCATTGAGAATAGAAGGCCCGTTTCCCCTCTACATATCTTGCCTTTAAGATCTCCCATCAGATTTTACATTTGTAGGTGCTAAAACACGTCTAAGATCGTATGAGAGCAAATGTTCAAGGGTATTTAAGAGCTTTGAAAGCCGCTTTGGGCAATTGAATTTCTACTTATAACTTTAAAAATAATCTTTAAGCGTTTTCCATGTACTTTCAAGGGCCCTCTAAAGACATTTGGCTTCAGAAATCTGCAAAAAACTTGATTGAGTTTTTAATCTTCTTAAGACTTGCACAGTGCAAAGTATTTGTGCATCAAGAGCCTATATCAACCTTTCAGATAATTTATTTCTCTTTATTCTCGCTTAGCCGGTTACAAAAATTTGTTGAGCTTATACCGCTTTATAGCGAACATACAAAAGTATATCTGGCGATAGATAACAAGTGATAATAAGAAACGTATTGGGGAAGGTCAGCGC